TATTGCATGCCGGCTTGTCACAGATAGTCAAATACCATGGGCAAGAGCTAAGCGCTGTATCCAATGGATGTACCATGGACCCATCAAGTTAATGAACACAACTAACTTAGGTCTATTAGTTTGACAACAGGTCTGAGCAGGACTGGCTAACCAATACAAAACACTCGATGAATGTTTGGGCATCAACACCTGCAAAGGTGAATTCAGAATGTCAAGTACAAGAGCTCTGATGGATCAAGACACAGGGGGCCCTTCTAAATGTCCACCATGCTATTCTCATTATCAGTGTTAGAAAATAGCCAGGCGCCAAGTGCATTTTGCAACTGGAGTGGGTCCAATTGCGACCACGTGGAGATCTCTGGGTGCCAGACTGAGGAAAGCAAAATGTTGCTTAGGGAAGGATCTGAAATATTTTCCTTGAAGCTTCAATTTGTTTCATTCTGGGTTGTTTTATTTGATGTTTTAATGTGTCGTAAACCACTGGTCAGGGGTCCCTTAACCCTTTACCTAAACCACTTTGTGATTTGTTCTTTAAAATATAAAGTGATGTAGAAATGAAAATAATACTACCACTAATAATAATTTATCATTATTCCTCTTAGGGGGCAGAAACAGGGCCTAGATATTCCATTGTGGTGACTGTAACCCAGGTTAAAGGTGTAATTTGGTGATTAGATTATATATCTAAGTTTCTAATACTGCTCACTATGGCCAAACAGATGCCCTAATTGAAGCACACAAGCAGTTCCTAAGCACAACATCAACACTTCCTGCTTGTGGCTCTGAGTAACTAGCATTCAGAGGCATACTCTCTCCCACAGCAGAATCTGCCTCCGATGGCAGGATCTGCCTCTCATTAATTTTAACTAGGAGGCAATAATTGTCAGGAAAGCAGAACACAAAAAAGTATGCAAATAAGAAATAAGTCAAGACCCCTTTGCTTTCCCAAAGATCTCAAATATAGTCTCTTCACCTTTATAGGCACTGAGGAATTCTCCAGGCTCAACCAAGACACCTAGGTTCAGCCAAATGTCAGTGGTTGGGGGAGATAGCCAGTAATGTGATGTCCTCCGGATGTCATTTGACTTCAGCTCCCATCATTCTCTTGCCTTTTGGCCCTACCAGTTGGGGCTGATGGGAGTTGGAGTCTAAGACCCCTGGGAGTCATCACCCAAGTTTTACATCACAACAGAACTCCCACCATGATCAGCCAGTATTCGATTCTGGACAGCTCTGTTGGTTGCAGCATGGTGCTGATAATGCCGAAATTGCAAGTTCAATCCCCATACGGGGCAGCTGCACATTCCTGCCTTGCAGGGGGTTGCACTCTATGATTCTATGATTCACCACTGTAAATGAGGGTGAAATGTTTTGTGCATATGAAGTACAAAGGAAGCTGCCATTGGTCATTGGTTCTCCTAGCTTCGTACTGTCGAAACTGATCGGTGACAACTCACCAGAGTTTCAGACAGGGGTCCGGTCCCAGCGATCCTCATATGTTTATTTGTTATTATTCCCAAATAAGCCAAGGGCCACAAACAGCAAGCAACAAAACCATAATTAAAACAACAACAACAGCAACCTTTAACACAATTCCAGTTCAGATAAACACACGGAAGGTTTTCGGGCTTAAAAGGATAGCTGGAAGAGGAAACTGCTCGGAAAAGGCACCAGAAACAGCACCTGCCTAATATTCAAGGACAAGGTGTTCCAAAGGGTTGGTGCCATCACACCAAAGGCCCTTTTTCTACATTGTGAGGAACAGACCTCCTTAGAAGGTGCTATCTGCAGGAATGTGGTGATCAATCAGTTGCATAAGGGGTGCACCTAACCCTTGGCTAGATTTACCAAAGGATTGAACCTGGGACATTCTGCATGCAAACCTGATGACTTACTGCTGAGCTGAGGCCCTTCCCTTAAGACATAGAAAGCTGCTAGACAATCGATCCGTTTAGCTCAGTGTTGTCAACTCTGACTAACAGCAGCTCTGCAGGATTTCAGACAGGAGTATTTCCTGTACTTGGGCACTTCCTGCAATGACAGTATTTTAGGTAACCAAGTTCACATGGGGCAGGGAAGGGGGCGGGAAGCAACAGAAGTCTGGCTTTGGCAGAATCTTAATGCCAAAATTGACACAGGGGAGCTGTTATCAGATCTCCCAAGCTTTTTTCTGTTCTTTGCTTTAGTGCTTTATATAAATATATATAGCCACTGGGATTCCCATTTTGATTACACCAATAGAGCTGGGGGAAAGGGGTTGTTCACACTTTCCTCCATGCTGCATGCTGGCTCTAAATCACACAATCTCTCTCTCTCTCAGCTGCTTCTGACCGAGCATCATGAGCCTTAGCTAAGCAGCAGAGAATCAGCTTTGCATGCAGGAGGTCCCAAGTTCAGTCCCTGGCATCTCCAGGTAAGGATGGGAATGCTCCCTTGCCTGGAATGCTGGAAAGCATGTAGTAATGAGGTGGATGGACCAATGGTTGGATTTGGTAGAAGGCAGCTTCCTATGTTCCTAAACCCATGGGGGGGGGTGTGGAGGAAGGAGTCTTGGGTTTGGAAAACAAATGAGAATAGATTTAAACAGCCACTCCAAAAGCTGCTTCAACTGAAATCCAAACACCACACCCCTCTCTAAAGCTAAAAAATAATAATATTGGTGGCTGCATTCATGGATCTACAGCATTCTGCTTGAGGCATGTGATCCATCCACACACAACTCAATATTTACATTGCGGTGGATTCCCTGCACACACACACACACACACACACACACTGAGTATATTGTTGCAGAGAACAGTGGTTTAAATGGTTTTAACTGGGGTAAGGGAATTCTCATGAGAAGTCGCATCATCTGGAACCCATCCACCCGCTCCCAAAAATCAAATCAACAGGACAGGATCTGAGAGTACCCTTAGAAACCCAAGGAAGTCATGACTGATGAATCTGTAGCTACAAGACAACTAGAGCATATGGAGGCTGCATGGAGAGGGGGCTGCCCCCCAAGCAGGTGTTTCTCCATTTCTTAACCCTCTTGGCCCAATCCCCTGAACTTCTGCAAATACATAAAAGCCTGCAGAACCCCAAATATTGCAACAATAATCCTGCTCACAAATCTAGTGCCACGCGGTCAGCACTGCAACGAAAATATTTGGCATCTGTGGTTGCCACCGGTTCACCACCAGGAAGTTGGGGGAGAAAAAAGCCGAAGTTCCAACAGGGCAGTAGGTGGCTCCCAAATCATGAAGCGAAATGTGTGCCTGCCTCAGTCCTGGACGTGGGTGGGGGTGGGGAATGACACGCCCCTAAAAGTGACTGTTGCATGTCATGTCTTGGGTTTGTGCTTGGTGTATCCCCAGGAAGGAAGGCCACAGCACATTGCACATGGCCAAGAGTTGGGCTTTTCACTTAGCATGTCGTACTAGAGCACCAGGTGGTAACTTCCAGGTCCATCTGGGCCCACATCTAGCAGGAAATGGAGAGGGAAGATGGGTGCTCTATCTCTGCAGAGACAGAATGGGGGGAGGCAGAACCAGCCCTGCGACTTGTGTCTTAAAATGGCGTTGCACAAGCAACATTCATTCGCGGTGGTCAGTGAAGGCGGTCCATCACCCCCTCCAGACCACTTCCTAGCTGTGTGACTGCAGGATGAGGTCCATTCATGCATCAGCCTTGCTGCCGTGAGCGCAACCCATTCATAAACACATACGCACAAGCACCAAGCAGGGCAAAACCTGTGAGATGAGAACATCCACCACATTTCTCCTAGAGGGTCAGTGAAGGCAGCCCATTGTTACTCCACCTTGCAGAACATGTCGGCTCCTGCTGGCCACTAAGAGTAGCCCACCTTTCTTCTGCTCCCCCCCCTCCCCAAATTTCTGGCCAACTGTCACAGGATGAGGCCGTTCGTGTGGGGACATCATTCCTGCTAGTTAATGAGGACCATCCTGTCCTCATGGAAGATGAAAGGTTTGACATACAGAAGGTCCCAAGTTCTATTCATGGCACCTTCTCATAGACCTGGGAAGAGCCATTACCTGGAACGCCGGAGAGCTGCTGCCAGTCAGGATAGACAATAAAGAGCTGTATGAATTGATGCTCGATGATTCACAGCTTTCGGTGTTCCTGTTTGGGATAGGCCTTCACAGGCAAAAGGTCCCAGATTCAACCCTTGGCATCTCTAGAAAAGGCTTCCTGCTGAACTGCTACAGAGCTGCCACAGAGTGTGGGCAATATTGAGCTAGACGGCCTGCCTCTGCTTCCTGTGTCCCTAAGCACCCCAGGTGACGGCCACCTGTCAAAGGATGTCAAAGGATGAGGCGACCGCCCAGGCACCATTCCCGCTGGTTCCTGAGGGCTCCCCTATTCTCCTCCTGCAACCCAAAAAGAGAGAGCAAGTTCCAGCCTGGGCTGCGGCCACCTCCCAAGCATCGTGCCCGTTCCCTTTCCATTCCCCCACCAGCACAAAAGCCCAACCACGCTCTGGAAGCAGAGCCGCGCCAACGCCAGGAAGCGAGGCAGCTTTCAAAATCCGAATGGCAAAGCCACGTTGGAGGAGCCACCGTAGGAGAAGCTACTGCTGCCCAGCCCGGCCCAGTCCGGGCCGCCCTCACGAAATCCTCGTAGACAACTCGCTGGCCGGGCCTCCTTCCTCCTCCCGGCCGCTGCCAGCCAGGCCAGACCGGGCCAGGGAGCGGCCTTTCAGCGCGCCCCGGACTCCGGGCTCCGGCGCGCGTTTGCCAAGGCAGCGGCCGCTTCCCAGAGAGCGCCGCCCGTCGAGGGGGGCTGGGAGCCGCAGCCGGCGCTGGAGAAAGAGCGACGCGGTGCTGGCTCTCCCGGTCCGAGGAAGGGCTCTTGCTGAGCGGCCTCGGCTCCCCTACCCTCGACCCTCCCCCTTCCTCTCGCCACCCACCACCTCCCCACAAAAAAACCCCGAGCGCTGGCCGTCGCGGGGCGCCCTTCCCGGCTCAGCATCCTCGTCGTCGCCCGCTCGCACTCACCTTCCACGGCGGCGGCCAGGCGCAGCAGCGGCGGCAATAGCAGGAGCCCGAGCCGAAGCAGGAGCGCACCCGGGCCCGGCGGCGGCTCCATGGCGCGGCGCTCTCAGGGGCTCTAGGCGGCCATGGAGCTCCGAGGAGAGCGGCAAGGCCGGCGGGGGGGAAAGGAGGAGGAGGAGGATCGGGGGCTGGAGTGGGGTAGGGAGGAGGATCGGGGAGGGGGCGCTGCCTGGCTCGCTCGCGCCCCGCTTGGACGCTCGCTCGCTCGCTCCGTCCGCGACCGTGTCCGCCTGGCGCTCTGGGAGAGGGAGCTAGAGCCGCGGCTTCTGGACGGAGGCGCGCTGGGCTGGCCGCCTGCCTGCCTGCCTGCCTGCCTGGAAGGCTCGGGATGCTGCAAAGGCAGGCGCGGCGAGGGGAGGGGAGCAGAGGGGAGGGGGCGCGGGGAGGAGACTGGCGGGGGGAGGGGGCGGCGAGCGAGGGGCTGCTGCTGCTGCTGCCGCCGCCGCTCCGCCCGCTTGCCTCGCCAGGGCCGCGCCAGGAGGCCGGCGAGCGCGAGGACTTGGGCACGTCGCCGGCCTTTGCGCCCTGCCTGCGCGCTCTTGTGGATTCCGCTCTCGCCGGGGAAAGGGCTTGCCCAGCGCTTCCCTAGAGCTTTCCAGGATAGAGAGGGTTAATCCGGCATATTTGGGGGACGGGGGACGGGGCGAAGAATTGGACGTGTGGCCTCAGAAGCCTCTGTGCACATGGAGATCCGCTGCGAGGGGTGTGAGATGCATCCGTCCTGCGGCCATCTCACTCACCGCATCCCCCAGGGGGATAGGCTAGCTCTCTGGCCCTCAGTGGCTGCTGCTAGTCCCCGTTGCAGAATGGAGCCTCCGTGTTCAGGAGCAGTCTACCAGATGATGGGGAGTACGGGTTTTTCAGAAGCTTTATGGCTGGCCAAGGTGGGCTGCGGTTTAGATATATGTGGTATCTCAAGGGTTGTCACATGGAAGAGGAAGCAAGCTTGTTATCTCCTACTCTGGGTGGGTAGGACTGGTTTCAAGTTCCAAGAAAGGAGACTCCGACTAAACACCAGGAAGAACTTTCAGACTGTTCGACCGTGGAAAAGTCTCCCTCTGGAGGTTGTTGACTTTCCTTCTTGGATGTTTTTAACCAGAGGTTGGATGGCCACCTCTCATTGATGCTTTAGCTGAGATTCCTGCATTGCAGGGGGGTTGGACCAACTGACCATTGGGTCCCTTTCAACTCAACGATTCTATGATTCTATGAAATCCTGGGCTGACTCAGGCATTGTGAAATAAGTGAAACTGACCACCTTAAAGGGAAGTGGGCTGTTAAGTCTAGAGTATATTAGTTGCTACTCTGCACCACTGCCAGGTGGAAAGAGGAGGCTGGACCACACATAAGTTTCAGCCACCAAGGTTCACTCTAGGGGAGGGAAGTCCCTCCAGACATTGTGGACTACAACTGCCATCCTCTCTGCCCATTGGCCATGCTGGCTGGGGCTGATGGAAGTCCAGCAACACTTGTCCCAGGGAAAGACACCTAGCAACATGCAAAAATCATGTATGTGTTTATTTGTAGATTCTCCACTACCACCACTTAATGTAAAGACTAAATGGTTTTTACATGAAAGGAAAACAACGTGCAATAACATTTTCTTTGGGAAGCTAGATTAACTTTGTCGAATCAAGCCAAACTGAGTATGTAGGGCTGCCCATTGAAATCAGTTGACCAGGAGTAACCGGAAAGTATTATTCTTCATGCAGTACATAACTGCTCATTGCAGCAAGAGGTGGAAATGGTTGCCTCTGCGTTAGATGGCTTTACAAAGACATCAGACACTTCCCTGGAGTTGGAGAGGTCTGTCAATGGTTATGACAGAGCCTCCAAGATTAAGGAAAGTCTACCTCTGAATACCAGTTGCTGGAGAGCAAGGATGTGAGTCTGCTGTCACCTTCATGCCCCTTTTGTGTGGGCTTCTCAGAGGCACCTGATCAGCTACCAGGATGAGAGTCTAGGTGTGCCTTTGATGTGATCCAGAACAGGCTCTTCTGATAGCCCGGGTAGTAGCATCTTCATCCCAGTCTGGTTGGCTTGTGGCAGGAACAGGAGGTGGGGTTCATTACTCGCTGCCTTGAGATTTGTCGCTCCTCGGGATTTTGATCTGAATTGTTGTTGTTGTTAATAATATAGCTCCCTTCATCACAATCTCTCAGGGCAGTTCACAAGATAACTTCTTATAGAAATTGGTTGTACCACTTGTATTGGAAAAGGAAAGGACACCTTTGGTGGTTGGTTCCCCTTGGGACTAATAGGCAGAAGGAGGCAGGAAGCCCAACAGTGGACAAAGGCATTACCACCCCCTGATTGGTTATAAGTAAGAAGATAGTTTGTATCTGACAGAAGACAGTAGGAGATGAGTGGGGCATTGCCCCATTCACCCCATTGGCTCTCCCTTCACTGCTTGTCATCCTCTTGCACCCTCCAAACATTTGTTTAGAGCGTTGTTTCCAGAAGAACTGTGAGTAGGCGAAAGAGTCTGGGTTACCCCCAACAGCGTTTTGCCCAGAGCAGACCCACTGCAGTTAATAGACAGAAGTGAGCCATGGCCATTCATTTCAATGGGTATACTCTGAGTAGGAGCAGCACTGGGTACACCCCCTCTGTGTTTGCCAGCAGTTTCCTTCTTCCAGCCCTGAAAACCCTTCACAAGGGAACTGCTTCCAAAATATCTTCCAAAGTGGGTTTTCTGGCTTATGAGGGTTGAGAATAAAATATTGAAAGGGGTGTTACTAGGTGCTAATGACACCCACTTTGGGGCTTCATTTGCTGAGAAGTTATTGGGTGGTATTTTTACCTGAGCTTTCTGCTCAGTTAAATCTTTGGTGTGCGTTAAATGAATGGTTCATTGTGGGTGTCTTACAGTGTTATATTGACACTGTCCATGAATTTGATTCAGTTTATCAAAGCAATTTAATAATAAACAGACTTGTGTATGTGTAATGTATAAAAACACAACTAAAACAATTTCTCATGTATATATATATATATATATATATATATATATATATATATATATAAAATCTCAGCAGGAAGCTGCCTTGTACTGAGTCAGGCCATTGGTCCAGCACCCAGGGGCAGGGCTAGCCACCCACAGGGGCGGGGCAAGCATCCCAGGGGGGCGCCACCTGCGGCGAGCATCCCAGGGTGGTGGGGTGGCAATGTCACCCCCCTCAGGGATGACACCCGGGGCAGACTGCACCCACCACACTGCCCTTCATCTGCCAGTGCCATTTAGCTCAGTACTGTATGCACCGACTGGCAGGGGCTCTCCAAGATTTCTGGCAGGGAGTTTGTCCCAGCTTTGCCTGGAAATGCAGGGGGCTGAAGCTGGGACCTTATGCACACCAAGCAGGGTGTGCTTCCGAGCACAATTCAAAGTGTTGGTGCTGACCTTTCAAGCCCTAAACGGCCTCAGCCCAGTATACCTGAAGAAGCGTCTCCATCCCTATCTCTCAGCCTGAACACTGAGGTCCTCCTCTGATGGTCTCCTGCTGGTTCCCTCACTTCAAGAAGCGAAGTTACAAGGAACCAGGCAAAGGGCCTTCTCGGTAGTGGCACCTGCCCTGTGGAACACCCTCCCGTCAGATGTCAAGGAAATAAATTTAATATAACTTTTAAAAGACATCTGAGGGCATCCCTGTATAGGGAAGTTTTACATGTTTGATGTTTTACTGTGCTTTATGTTGTGCTGGACCATCAAGAAGGCTGATCGCCGAAGAATTGATGCTTTTGAATTATGGTGCTGGAGAAGACTCTTGAGAGTCCCATGGACTGCAAGAAGATCAAACGCATTCATTCTTAAGGAAATCAGCCCTGAGTGCTCACTGGAAGGACAGATCGTGAAGCTGAGGCTCCAGTACTTTGGCCACCTCATGAGAAGAGAAGACTCCCTGGAGAAGACACTGATGCTGGGAAAGATGGAGGGCACAAGGAGAAGAGGGCGACAGAGGACGAGATGGTTGGATAGTGTTTTCGAGGTTACCAGCATGAGTCTGACCAAACTGCGGGAAGTAGTGGAGGACAGAGGTGCCTGGCGTGCTCTGGTCCATGGGGTCACGAAGAGTCGGACACGACTAAACGACTAAACAACAACAACATGTTCTTGATTTGTTGGAAGCCACCCAGACTGGCTGGGGTAACCCAGTCAAATGGACAGCATAAAAATATTAATATTAGTATTGTAGGGTGAGCTCTCTCATGGGCCTATGTTGTCTAAGCATGCTCAATCAGCCTTAGTTCACAAAACCAATCTTTGCGGTGGGAGTGGGGGCCGGTGTTGGCTGGGCCACTGAAAGAAGCATAATTCCCCGACAGTGTGAACAAACTGCTAAGCGTCTGACGACAGCAGTTGACATTTGTCCATTGCCAAGGCAGAGTTTCACCTCTTTTGCTGCCACACGCCCTCCAAGACTTTGCAGGGGTAGCCCCCTTCTTGCACAGTCAGGGAAGAGTGCCCAAGGCTCCCCCATGGCATCCTTACGCACTGCTGAAGGCTCCGCTCTGCCTGCTTTTATCCACTTGCTCTGCAATCTCCTCTCCTCTGGCAACTCGTAAGCCAAGAGAGTCTAATTGTTTCTCTGGGTTAAAGACATACTACAAGCAGACAGACAGGCAGACAGGCACAACATGTCTGATTCCAAACAAACAAACATAATATGCCTCAGCATATGTTTCTCACAGTTCAGAATGAAACGCACCAGCTCCGGGGGTGTTCATTCTTGTGCATTTCTATGCGCATCTTGCTAAAGACAAGATGTGTTTCAGAGAGAGAGAGGATGCTCCTTCAGATTATCTGTTCTTAAGCCTGATTTGCTTACCATACTTTTCCATTTATAAGACTAGAATGTATAAGAAATCCAGACCGTGGGGAGCCCCAAGAAATTAATAAATAAAATTGGACTATAATTTGATCTTTTTTATTTTGGTTTTTGGTTTTTAATTGAAGTATTATGATTGGATATTTAATTGGATGTTTTTTATTGGAAAATCAATAAAAATGATTTAAAAAAAAAGACTAGAATTTTTTTTATACACGGATACAATATCCCCCCATTTCCTCAATTTGGAGTCCTCAAAAATAAGAGGTGTCTTATACACAGGGGCATGTTATACACAGGAAAATACGGTACGTGGTGGTTAGACCGGTACGTCGTGGTTAGACCATGGGGTTGTAGCCAGTACCAGTCCTACTCAAGGAAGCCCCACTGAAATTAATGACTATGACTAGTTTGATAGACCCACTGAAATCATGGAACCATAGGATTATAGAACTGTTGAGATGGAAAGATGACCCTGAGGATCATCTAGTTCAGTATTTCCTAAACTTGAGTCTCCAGCTG